ATATTAAGCAGACTGTTCTTATCTCCACCCCCATCTTGCTTACACTTTTTGGTCTTTTTGTGTATTATTTCAGGTTCCAAGAAAACAGATATATCGCTTTGTTGATGTATCAATCTCCTTGGAGCAACCTACTTGATTTCACAGGCATATAAGTAACAATGTTTGGAGAAGACAATAAATGGCCTAAATACAAGCCATAACGCAAAAGTTTAAGTTATACTCTTCTTTTTACAGCTGAAATAGACAAATAGATTTTGTCAGTAGTTTTTTATTTCTTCTCGAAAAAGGTGTAAGTGATTTATACAGACGCCATGGCTGGATTTCCCAATGTGGTGCTCGTGCTTTGCTCGATCCTCATCATAGCGTCAAGCGATTCTTCGACTATCCTCAAGTCAACACTAGGAGTTTCGATGTCTACTTTCACCTCCCAGGGCGATACTTCCATCGAGTACTCCGACATAAGTTTTGGAAGTACTTCTTCAGGGAGGTACTCGACTCCGCGAAAACAAGACGTGACAGCGACTACGCTATCCTCGAATCCAACACAAAGGGGAGAAAAGAAGGAGTCGGGAACTGGAAAAATCAATCTAGACGACACTAATCTACAAGGCGGTATTCCAGTTTTCCCAGTGACTATCTCAAAGCGGCCATCGGAAGAGGACGTTTCAGAAAGACGACTGAAACTTCCACAAACTGGTGGGAGCACAACCGGCACCACGCAACGGGTGAGTTGTAATTTGTACGGTTAAACCGGGTGCCCATTGTGGATGGGATCGGATCGGGTCGGGTCGGGTCGATCACCTGACTTGTCGCCTTAAAACAAACTTGTTTTTTGAGCAGTGAGTTGGTCGATCGGCGTGTGCCTCAATAGCCGCTTTGCGCCCTCAATCTGGCTAGCAAACCGACCCGACCCGACCCGATCGTGCCAATGGGCACCCAGCATTAGGTCCTTTTCTGTCGCACACAGGAGAGCCAAGTTTGATTCCCGAGAGGGGAGAAATGTTTATCGAGTACATTGTATCTCGGTCTTTTAGTTAAGATATTGTACATATCTCTCTCAGACCGGGTTGGCCCTGACAGGCAGGTTCAGAAGCAAACCTCCTAAATCATTTTTGACATCTGTCAGTGGGGGTGTAAAAAAAAACCCACTTGCATTAAAAAATGCTTCGGGGCCAAGAGGTCATCCTAGAATAATATAATAATTTTAATATTCAATCAGCGCTAATTTCTTACAGAATCAGAAACAATACTCCCCTCCTCCATTTTGTCAGCGGTGCTCCCAGGAGACTTTACTCACGATGATATTACGGTCTTGCCTAACCTTGCAGCTTATTTGAATGTATCGTGATGGTTGGCTGGCGCTCAGATGTAGTTTATACTCCTTCTTTTCTATCAAACATCTATATCGCCATTATCTCTCGTCCTCCTCTTCTTTTTATGTTACTCTGTTCTAACACATCTTATCTTCGTCGTTTATATGACTCAATGTGTTACAAGTGCCGTTAAACTCTTACTAAAACTACTAAATTTAAAAGCGTTGGTGTTCATGTGAAACGATAAGCCGCACGTTTGAAATGCTGTATGTGCACGGCTATTCTAATAAAACCATGCAGAGGTATGGCTTCGCGAGTTATTTACTCGTATTACTTTTACTTCATTTTTGTTTTGTTTTTGTTTTTTTATTTTGATATCCAAGTCTGCTTGCATTAACCGACTTATGTTACCTCTCTTTGCGTAGCTCAGAAGAATAAGGGGTTATAAACAGTACACATTAAATTCTTGCGAATCCAAAGAGGGCTTCATTATTTTAAAAAACCAAATGTTACATAATATCTATGCCTTTCCAAACTCAAGAGAGACACAAGCACCTCCCCCCCTCCCCAAGCTAGGCTTGATGATACATAATTTATCTTATTTGGTCCGAAGGGGACGCACTCATAAATGTTATTCTAGATGATAACGCCGCGTAGCTTTTCGACTTTGACTCCTCCAAGTTGTGGAGAAAAGGATTTCGAAAAATAAAACGTTGTGTGGGATCATGTGCAACAGTTTTATATCTTACATCAGCAACCGACCTGCGCCTGTGGTGTAGCGATTATAGGCACTTCTCTCTCTCTCTCTCTCTCTCTCTCTCT